TATTTCCCGAACCTCAGAGACCCGACCCAAACCCGATGTGACACCAATCATTGCTTTCAAGTGCATGGCCCAATTGGGATAAAGGCGTTATTCGTTTAAACAAAGTTGAAACAAACATGGTTTTAAATATTACCTATTTCGCATTATTAATTGGTTAAAAGCCTGATTTTAAACAGTGAGGGAAAATTCAAAAGAAACAGCATCATACTTTTAGTTGCTGTCTATTAATTTCATTAAAATTATTTATAGTTATTTGGCACAAATGAGTATTCTGTGCACTTTTATGTAGTGCTTAGTGTAGCTTAGTTTTGGACACTAATAAACTTTTGTAAATAAATTAGATCTTAGAAATTAAGGTGGTTCAAATCCCACAAATTACGCAGACCGATTTTAGTCGAAAATTCCGAGTAATCCCACCCCCAGCATTAAACATATGAATTGTTAATGATGGCCTAGGCATAGATGTATTTATACAAAAAAACATTTAGCCAGACTTGTAGAGGAGGATGGCCACTTGTCCCATGTAGAAGTAAATAAAGTTCCGTGCCTCGTGTGTCACATAGCTAAGGATAGAAGTGAAATGACTGAGTAAAATATTGAAACAAACACTTAATGCGAGGATATAAAGTAGTCACTCTCACCTGCCAAAGTTACGTCCCACTATGCAGTGCCAGGTGGGACCGTATTCTCTATCAAATGCCTTCTTTACATGCGCAGCAATGTCTTTCTCAATGTTGTACTGATCCATAGCCTCTTTGGCACAGTCTACAGCTCTCTGCTGCATGCTCTCCGACATATCGGCATTCTTGACCACGGCCTTGCTTGCGCTCATGACTGTGTGTACTGTGAACGATCGTGCTGGCGACGGAGTCACCGTTTTTTATAGTGTTTTTCGGTGGCCTTAGTAGCCTTGCCTCAAAGAGTGAGTGTAGGTGGGTAATTTGGTGTACGTATGCACAAGTCCGCATCTGCATATGTGCAATGGAACCCTGCCAACTGGAACACTAAAAAACACAGTACTTTCCCACAAGAATGATTTAAAATTTTCCTTCTCTGGTTAATCGGTAGGAGTCAGAGTAAACAGTTAACGATTATGAAACTCCAAGCCGTGTCATCGACATAAAGAACAAATCCCCACTTTTAGGTGTCTCTCGTTTACCGACCCTTCATAGTGCGCTTGGCATAGATGATGGCATTTCAAATTCCAGCGAAAAAAAGGTTCAATTAGTTAAATTCTGCATATTTTAATGCTAACTTAAAGGACTTTAGTCATTATCAGTGCACTGCATTGACTCCAGTAGTTCTAGAATAAAGAATCAGCAAACACCACACGACACGCCTTATTCACCTTGAGCACACATTTCATGCATTTGATTCCTATTTTCTGGACCAGACCTCTACTCCAATGTTAGGTGGTAAAAACCCCATAAAGTATAAAGATAATGGCATTTTGGTTTTAGAGTTCCCTCTCACTGCTCCTTCGTAGATACCTTCCCAACTCCAGTGCGCTCATCCTCTTTTAATTCAATCGTGCGTCTTTTGCGGCGTTATTAAAGGGCGGTGGAGAGGCATGTGTGCGGCATGTTTAACCCTCCGCTTTGGTGAAGAACCACTTCACCACATCGCAGTTGAATGATTCCAGAGTCACTCGGTAGCATTACGTCTCCAATTTGTCCTTAAGGCGGTGGACGTGCCGCGTCATGGGATTACGCCATTGGGGCAAATTGTTCTTCCCCAAACCTGTAATCCATGAAATCACTTTCCTACACTAAAATTGGAAAACGAGGGAAAGTTGTACTGAGGATAGAATGTAAGGCGTGCTTTAACACCAA